CTCAGCTTCCTAAATAGGCTTATAGATTTAAAAAAAAAATGATACTCTAGTGATGGATACATGACATTAGCATCTGTCAAAACCAATAGAGCTGTACAACACAGAGTGAATCATAATGCAAATTACAAGCTTCAGTTAATAATAGCATATCAACATAGATTCATATGCTATAAGTATGCCACATTAATGCAAGGTATTAACAAGACAGGAAAGTATGAGTTGGGGGAAGAGACTATGGGAATCCCCAGTACTTTCTGCTCAGTTTTTCTGTGAATCTAAAACTACTCCTTAAAAGAAGAGTCTATTTGAAAAAAAAAATTCTTAACTACATGTCATGTTTTCTGACACTGTACAATTTGAAATGAATAACAGTAGGACACATTTTAAATCTCAAGTGCTCAGAAATGTAAAATAAAATGAGTATAAATAATTTATAGGCTCCAGAAGACATCATAATAAAGATTTGGAAAGGATGCCTAATACTAAACAATAGTGTATCACATATCAAATGTTATGAGATGCAGCTTAGATCTCAATTTATGGCCTTAGGAATCATACAGTCATTCTCAGTATCTGAGTGGGATTGGTTCCTGGACCCCTGCCTACACCAAACCCACCAATGCCCAAAGTCCTTGTATAAAATGGGATAGCATTTGCATATGACCTCCACGCAGCCTCATCTCTACATTCCTTATAAGACCTAATGGTATGTAAATGCTATTAAATAGTTGTTAGGCTGTTATTCTTTAGGGAATAATGACAAGAATATGACCAGAATATGAGGGTGAAGCTCAGCGGTGTGGAGCAAGTACTTAAACTGCTTCTGCTGAAAAGCATTAACTCTTTACTGGAGCCACAAATGAACTAAAAGTAGAAGAGCTTGCATTCCTGTCTGCATTTTGCATCTGCCTTTGCTCAGTCATTCTCTTCGCAGGTACTTTGCCTTCACTCTGCAATCCAGGAAGGATAGGACTCATGATCATATATTTACCAAGAGGGATGTAGAAAAACAGCCCCTAGGAAAAGAAACTGACAGGGCTGGGAATGTGGGTTAGTGGAAGGGTGTCTGCCTGGCACATATGAAGCCCTGGGTTCGAGTCCTCAGTACCACATAACAGAAAACACCAGAAATGGCGCTGTGGCTCAAGTAGTAGAGTGCTAGCCTTGAGCAAAAGAAGCTCAGGGACAGAGCCCAGGCCCTGAATTCCAGCCCCAGGACTGGCAAAAAAAAAGGGGGGGCTGAGGTAAGGCTCAGTGACAAGATGACAAGAGTACCACTTAGGCAGCACAAGGCTCTGAATTCAAGCTTCAGTACTGAAGGACAGACCCCCTCAGGACAGACCACCCACCAAACAACGACTTAGATGTCCTGACCAAAATTGCTCCTTTCAACTGGTTTGATGACAATTACCACTACAGAAGCCCTCTAATAACCAACCAGGCTATACTTGGACTGTGTAATCATTTCGCATACATCCCTCTCCTCCTCGCAGTTCTTTGTCTATTTAAACCTGAAGCTCATATCTATACCTTAAAGATGGCAGAAGTGAAGCTTGCTTTGCTTTCTTCAGCAGTTGTGTCCAGGCCTGCCTAATAAACCTGTTCTTTCTACCCTTCACCATTAGTGGCTCTTTATCTGTTCCACAGTGTTGGGGGGCACTTGGCTGTGCGGAACCCCTGGAGTTTAGGCCTAGGACCTAAGCCAGCAGAGCTCTTTGCCAGCCAGAGGCCTGTGGATGACGTCACCCAGCTTGCAAACCTTGACCACTGCGTGTAGCAATGTCACCGACTTCCTTTGCAACCCGGTTTTGATCTGTGCGACTGAGAAATACGACGTGGAGAAGAGATGCCTGAGAGGGGTCCCCCGGCCCCGCGGACACTCGGGGGACGGCCTGGCCCAGCGTGGGGGGCAGCCGCTCATCGGGGCGGTGACCAGGCCAGCTGGGTGACAACGCCAGGACGTTCAGCTCCGTGCACGGCCTGGGCCTCGGCTTCCCCCTGAACACCCTGGTCGCAAGGCCTCTTCCCCAGGCACGGCGGGCCCTGGGGAGCCCGGGCTCGCTGCAGAGCAGAGCAAGGGGCGGGCATGGCTTCCCCAGCAACACGGAGGCGCGCAGGCGGCTGCGTCGCTCCCCAGGGAGAGCCCGGCTCCACCCCCCCTCCTCCCCCTCCCCGCCGCGCGGGGCGGAAGTGGGCGTGGTCACGTCCACCTGCAGGGCGGGCGGGGCCTGGCGGGGCGGGGCTTGGCGGGACGCCCGCCTCCTCCCAGGTGCGGCCCGGGCCCGGCCCGCCTGCCCCGCCCCGCACAGCCCCAGCCCACTGCGGGAGGGAGCCCCGGGCACCCGTGCGGTTACAGGCGGCTCCCGGACTCCAGGTCCGCCCTCCTTATCTCCGTGAGGCCCGCTGAGTCACCCCTGCCTGGACACGGCGGGACCCATCTACCCAAGGCCGTCACCAGCCGTTCAGGAAGCCAAGGCCAGCCCGGCCAGACTCCGCCCTCCGTGTGAGGCCCACTGCCAGGAGCCCCTTCAGGCAGCACCTGTCCACTGGGACGGGGGGGGGGGGGGCGGGTGGAGGGGGAAGGGGGGGAACTGGAGGGAAACTGGGAATCTCGGGAAGATTTTTCTGAGGTCCAGGCAGGGCCACCCAAAATTCTCCATCCTTCAATAGCGTGCGGATCTGCTTGGACTAGGGTATGACCACAGGACCCTGACACATCACTTGTTCATTCATTCCCTCACCCAGCTGGGGCCCCGAGTAGGGCAATGGGGGTGCACAAACCTCACACACGAAAAGCTACACCCCCTCCCGCCTCAGCCTGGCAGGCAGACGGAAGAAGTCAGCTGTTCTCTGAGAGGGGCTGTTCCTTCTGCCCCTTCTTCCACTCCGGGATTACCAGTATGCACTACTACAGCCAGCCCGATGCCATCTTGAAGGGGTGAGGAGGATTTTTCTGACTGGAGAAGAATGCAGAGCCTGCCGGGCAGGAGCACTGAGGCTAGCCCAAGCTCCCAGCCTGCTCTGGCCTGTGCACTGGCTGTCCTGGGAAGGGAGAGCTAAGTGTAGCACTATTGGGGCGAGGGGGTGGGGAGAAACATTCTGTATTAAAACATATAGAGCTCTTTTCTGCAGGATTTGTCAGAGCCTTTGTCAATGTAAGCTCCCAGAACTGGAGCCGGATGGCCAACCATGTTAGCATAAGGAGTATGGGATCCAGGGTTGGTTAAGGGCTTCTAGCATAGTAGCTGAGTGTGGGTTCAAGTCCAGCCTCCTACACTTCCTACCCATCACTCTGGGACCACAGAGATTCTGTTGTTTTCAGAGACTTTATTCTTCGGAAAGTAGAGTTCCCATGTATCCCATTTCCCCCGAAACACCCATCCTCTTGAGTGCAGTGCATGGATTACAACTGATGACCCCATAGCGAAATATTTCTGCCTCAAGTCCCCAGTTTGAGGGCTGGCTCTTTGTGTTGTTCCAGATTCTCACAAGTGCACAGAGCCACACGTTCACCATTACCTGGCCACAAAAGAGTTCCGCCAGCCTGGGTTTCAGCATCTTCTGGGAGTGGAGGTGTCCGGAGCCCTTCAGTCCTCACCACAGGCTTCTCACTAGGTCCCGGGATGAACCAAGCTGTCCAGAAGGCAGCTCCATGTTCCTCTACGTCACCAGGCGGGGGCCAGGTGAGGGGTTAGAGTAGATGGTCCTTGTTCCCAGGTCTCAACTCTGGACTGGACAGTCAGAATCCTCAGGGCCCAGGACTCTTCATTCTGTCCAGGTCCCGGGTGCATGGGGATGTCTGAGACCCATCATGCCCAGGGTGGGAAGCCCAGGCCTGCGCCCGAGGATTTGTTCTACCAAAGCAAATGGAAGAATCCCGGCCACTGCCAGGTTGAAGCTCCTTAGAGACGCCATCTCCCCAAAGGAAGAGAACAGTATGTCAAAACGACACGGAAGCTGGCCGGGTGCTGGTGGCTCACACCTGTAATCCTAGCTACTCAGGAGGCTGAGATCTGAGGATCACAGCCCGGGCAGGGAAGTCCATGAGACTCTTATCTTCAATTAACTACTAGAAAATCAGAAGTAGTGCTGTGGCTCAAAGTGGTAGAGTGCTAGCCTTGAATAAAAGCAGTTCAGGGACAGTGCCCAGGCCCTGGGTTCATTGCCCATGACTGACAAAGAAAAAAAAAAGCCACAGAAAAAGCCACTTCTGTTGGTCCCAGCTGACCTATCTGTGGGCTTTCACATCTTTATTTTTTTTGGGGGGGGTCTGGTCGTGGGGCCTGAACTCTGGGCCTGGGCGCTGTCCCTCAGCTCTTCAGCTCAAGGCTAGCGCTCTACCACTTGAGCCACAGTGCCACTTGCGGCTTTTTTTTCTTTTTGCTTATGTGGTGCTGAGGAATCGAACCCAGGGCCTCACGCATGCAAGGCAAGCGCTCTACCACTGAGCCGCCTTCCCAGCCCGGGCTTTCACATCTTGATGGCTTAGCACTCTCCCAAAATAAGCAGCTGTGTCACACCTGGATTGAGCAGCCAGATGCGTTCAGCTGGGAGAGAACACAGACCTGAGTCCAGGGCCAGAAGACATCCTCCCTCACAGCCATCTCAAGTAGGCTGAATAATGTCCCCTCCCCAAATTCATGGGCTCCTGGAACGTCAGAATGTGACTTGATTTGGAAATAGTCTGTGTAGCTGTAGTTAGTAGGGACAGGGATGGCATATACTGGATGGGCCCTAAGTCCAATGGCTGGTACGGTATTTGCTTTTCTTTAGTCCAATCTGGCCTTGAACTTCTGATTCTCCTGTCTCAGCCTCCCAAGGGCTGTAATTACAGATATGCCCCACCACACCTGGCCCAGAGCCACCAAGAGCTACAAAGAGACAAGGGAAGATTCTTCTCCAGGGCCTTCCAAGGGAGCACAGCCCAATGGATGCCTCGACTTTGCGCCTCTAGAAGTCTGAGAGAATAAACGTGTGTTGTTTCAAGCCACCCCGTGTCTGGTCATGTATCATGGCTGCCCTAGGAAACAGCCATAGACTCTGGGCCTGGCTCAGCCCAGCTGTTCATAGTCCCACCACAGCACAGGCAGACACAAGACTGGTGATCCAAGGACTTCTTCTAGAGGAAGAGCTGCAGTGAACGGGAGGGAGGGTAGAAGAGGGGGGCAGTGCCAGGCTGGCGTGCAGCCCCAGGCCAGTGGGAGGCCAGAGGCTGGGGTCACTGTAGCTTCATGCCGCTCCGCCGGCGCGAGTCCTTGCGGACAATGGGGCTGAAATTCACCACCTCCTTATAGATGTGCTCTGCAGACAGCGGGGAGGCTTAAGGTAAGTAATGGGGTGCTGAGGGTCCATCAGCCCCAGGAAATCAGTCCAAGGAGAAAAACACCCAGGAAGCATATCCACTCAGGGAGGAGGGGCCGGGGTCGGGGGGCCAAGGGCCCCAAGCAGGGGGGGGCTGCAGGCTGGGGCACTCACGCTTCCATTCGTCCACTGTGAGTTTCTCGTGTTCTAAGGAATCATCGAATGGTTGCTGGGCCTCGGTCTCCTCCTCAGGGTCCCGGAAGGGTTCGAAGAAGGGGTGGGCAAGAGCCTGCGAGGCTGTCAGGCGCTTGTCCACGTCCAGCTCCAGTATCTTCTCCAGCAGGTCGACAGCTGCAAGTGCACAAGCGTGAGCCTCGAAGCACAGGTCCAGGAAGCCCTGGCTGGGGCCATGGGAACAGACCTGCAGGGGACCAGGCTCCAAGACTCACCCTGGGGGCTGGCGCGTGGGAAGAGCTGCCTGAAATCCTTCTTGGGAGTCTGGGGCAGGGACTGGATGTAGGATTTGGCCTGAAAGACAGACAGCAGTGAAGCCCTCAGGGCTGGTCTCCCAGTAAAAGCTGGCCTGAGTTCAAGGTAAGACGAGGGTGGAGCCCCTGCCACAGCAGAGGGACCCCATCTGGCCTAAAGGAGGCACAGGTGGTTTGTCCTTCCCAGAGGCCCGGCTTGTCCCAGGTTGAACAGCATAGCCCAGGACAGCCCAGGCCTAGGTATGACCTACCGCTTTGTCCTTCAGTTTCTGTACAAACTCTGCGCCCGGCACCCCGGTCACTTTCAGGATCTGGGTGAGCTGGTCCAGGTCTTGGCAGCTGGTTAAGGTGCTTCACAGCCTGAGTCTACTGTCCACAGCTTCCACGCCCACCCAGCCACAGCCTGGTCTCAGGAGAGAGACTCTGGGCTCTGTAGGACTTCCCAACTGACCAGAGCAGCACAGAAGGGGCCTGGCTGACAGGTGAATGTGCTGAGACATGACCTCCTCCCACCTGGCCATCCTCATCTGTTTCCTCTTCTCTCCATCCTCACACTGAGCTGAGTGGGGAGAGCCAGTGTCTCCTCACCAGACATCTGCACAGCACATTCAAGCATTTGTGCACACAGGCCCAAAGTGAGAAGGTTCCCTTCATGGGAGCCCTCCATCAGCTTATTTCCCTGCACAAAAATTATTCTACAGAAGGCTGGGCACCCGTGGCTCATGCCTGTAATCCTAGCTACTCAGGAGGCTGAGATCTGAGGATCGCAGTTCAAAGCCAGCCCAGGAAGGAAAGTCTGTGAGACTCTTACCTCCAATAAACCACCAGAAAACCAGAAGCTGAAGAGCTGAATTGCTGAGGGGCAGTGCCCAGGCCCAGAGTTCAAGCCCCATAACCGAACAACAAAAAAAATCATTCCACAGAGCCATGCACCATTGGCTCATGTCTGAAATCTTAGCTACTTAGGAGGCTGAGATCTGAGGATCATGGTTGGAAGCTAGCCCAGAGAGGAAAGTCTGTGAGATTCTTTTTTTTTTTTTTTTTGTCGGTCATGGGGCTTGAACTCTGGGACTGGGTGCTGTCCCTCAGCTCTTCAGCTCAAGGCTAGCACTCTACCACTTAAGCCACAGTGCCACTTCTGGCATTTTCTGCATATATGGTGCTGAGGAATTGAACCCAGGCTCTCATGCATGCAAGGTAAACACTCTACCACTGAGCTACCTTCCCAGCCCTGGGCCACCTTCCCAGCCCAACTCTTATCTCCAATTAACCACCAGAAAACAGGAAGTGGTGCTGTGGCTCAAGTGGTAGAGCACTTACCTTGTGCCCAGGCCCAGAGTTCAAGCCCCATAACCAACAATAACAACAACAACAACAAAAGAGTTATTTAGACAAAGTGTGGGTTGGATGGGTCAAGGGATGGGGCCTGGCCTGTCCAGCAAAGGATACAATCTTTCCCCTTAAACAGAGTTTTTCCTGTCAGCATCTCGGCCATGATGCAGCCCACCGACCAGATGTCCACTGCAGAGAGAGGAGGGGCTGTCACCTGACCTACTAGACACTTGGAGTACCGGGACAGCCTCAGGGAAGCAGCTAGTCCAGGCAGCCGAGCACTGACCTGTCTGGTTATAGTGCATCCAGCTCAGGATCACCTCGGGCGCCCGGTACCAGCGAGTCACCACGTAGCCCGTCATCTCAGCATCCGCATGTCGTGCCAGTCCAAAATCCAGGATCTATGGCTCATGGGACAGAGGGAGACAGCTCGCTGAGGGAAGGGGCTCCTGTGGGAGGGGATGCATCCCACCCAAGCTGGCCCACCCACAGTCCACTCACCTTCAGCTCACAGTCTTCATTCACAGCCAGGTTGCCGGGTTTCAGGTCCTGGGAGAAAGGGGAGAGAGCCAGCACTGTGCTGAGAGGCGGAGACGGGGGCTTCTCCTGCTTCTGCCTCAACCTAGATCTGTGCAGGACCTCTGGCTCCTTCTCTTCTCTGGCCCCCACGTTCCTCACATGTAAAACAAGAGTCGGCCGAGTGCTGGGGGCTCACACCTGTAATCCTAGCTACCCAGGGGGCTGAGACCTGAGAATCTCAATTCTTTTTTTTTTGTTTTTGTTTTTGTTTGGTCCTAGGGCCTGAACTCTGGGCCTGGGAGCTGTCCCTCAGCTCTTCAGCTCAAGGCTAGCGCTCTACCACTTGAGCCACAGCGCCACTTCTGGCTTTTTTTGCTTATGTGTTGCTGAGGAATCGAACCCAGGGCCTCATGCATGCAAGGCAAAGACCCTACCACTGAGCCACCTTCCCAGCCCCTGAGGATCTCAATTCTAAGCTAGCATAGGCAAGAAAGTCCTTGACACTTTATCTCAAAAAGCCAGAAGTAGAACTGTGGTTCAAGTGGTAGAGAACTGGCTTTCAAGAAAAAAAAAAAAAAAGCTCAGGGACAGTGCCTAGGCCCTGAGTTCAAGTCTGGGGCACAAAAATAAATAAACAAGGAGGAGTTGAGCTGGGTGTCCTGTGGGGCCCCCACTGAACTCCAGATGTTTCTCTCCTTGGATCCTGAAATACCAGCCCAGGGTTCATCTTGCTCATGGTGGTTTCCCACCAAGTTCCCCGAACCCAGGGGGCCTTTCAGGGCCAAGGTTGGCTCTGAATACTGCTACCTGTCCGGACCGCCCAGGGTGGGCTGGGACCCCGAACTCACCCTGTGGACGACACCAGCGGAGTGGATGTACTGCAAGGGAGAGAAGGAGATGCTGTCAATATCTACCGCCCGGATTCGGCCCCAGGCACGGCAGACTTGCTCAGAAACCCCGCCTCCACCCCATCATGCCATTGCAGTCTGGACACCACGGTTCCCGCTCTGCCACCCTCCAGCCCCCACCCACCTTAAGACCTTTGAGCATCTGATACACCAAGTACTGGACCTTCTCCTCACTGAACTCCATGCCCATGATTTTCTGTAGGTCGGTCTGCATGAAGGGCATCACCAGGTAGCTGGAAGGCAACACAACTTTGTGGCCCCATCCCCAGTGCCCACCCCCCCCCTCCGCCAAGCCTGGATCTGAGGTGGAGCTTGATGGAGGGGGAGGTAGAACATGGACGTTCAAAATGACCTCGGCAAGAAGCGAGCAGAAACCCAGCCCTACCCAGGCCTACAACACCCAGGTTCCCAGGGTCTCCCAGAGAAGCCAGGACCCAGGACTGGCAGAGCCGAGGGGAAACACTGACATGAAGCATGCTCAGAAAACCAAAGGGAGTGGGCTGGGAAGGTGGCTCAGTGGTAGAGTGCTTGCCTTGCATGCATGAGGCCCTGGGTTTGATTCCTCAGCACCACATAAGCAAAAAGAAGAAAGCCGGAAGTGGCGTTGTGGCTCAAGTGGTAGAGCGCTAGCCTTGAGCTGAAGAGCTGAGGGACAGCGCCCAGGCCCAGAGTTCAGG